ACATTATAAGGTCAGGTTCAAGTAGTGAGCGGTTGGGATTTTCACAGTGCTACTAAATATTGTTTTCCTTATTTCACAAGTCTCCGCAAGTCTCCATAATAATATAAGCCCTTTACCAACTTAGAAAATCTAACTAGACTTTTTAGCCAGCTAATTTTCACTGATTACTAGGTTTGACAACTGGATTTACTTTAAAATGCAAAAGTATTAGATATTAAATGATATACATTATCATCTATTTTGTATAAAGTCATATATATTAGATTCCACTATCCCTCAGCCATTCTCTTGTAGTTACGTAAAATTATGGTAATTGTGAAATAAACTTAAATTACTGTAATGAAATGAAAGAAATTAACCTATTTAATTCTAAAATTAAACTTGAATATCTATAAAATTCAAGACAGGTAAATTTAGAGGAACTACTAGATGATCTTTTAGTTTTTGCTCATTTTGTTTTGTTTGCTTTACAGATTTCTAAATAATTAGTTTTAATGCTGCAACATTCTAGTAGTTTTTTTTTTAAATACTTTTTAAAAAACTTGGCCTTAGTTTTCATCTTGAAGAGTCACTGTTTTGCCCAAACATATATTGAGCTTGTTTTTTTCTCAGTAAGAAAGTGAAGTGTGCTTTGGTAATTATGTACCAATGTGTGAATGCGTGTGTGTTTTGGGTGTGGAGTAAGGGGTGCTCTGTGTAGTGGAAAATAATAGAAACAACTGCTAAGCAAGGTGCAAAGCATGTTCACTAAAGTGTACTTTACTTTCTCATTGAATTGATTGATATGCTGGCTAGCTTATAGAACAGAATAAAGCCATGCTATTATAAGTGAAATAAATGTTGTATTTCAGTATTTTATTGAAATACATGTTGTACAAGTATTTGTATCTTTTATAAGTATATGGAAGTGCTAATTTTGGAAGAATCTATTCAGAGCCAAATACAAGTTATTTAGATTCGTTCATTTAGTATTTTATCTTCTGGCTAGTTACCTGATTATCTTAGTTGGCTTGAATGTATTTTCATTTTAATTGCTTTTGATAAGTTATTTCTAAGGAATGGAATCAAATTGCTAATAGTGCAAATGAAATCATTAGTGCAATAAAGTTTAATCTTTACCATTTTCTTTTCATATTTTACTTTCGCAGGCAATCTTGATCTGGTCATTGGTACAATTTCATAGACCTGATTATGCCAAAATTCCATACCCTGACTGGGGAGTTGCTCTAGGCTGGTGTATGATTATTTTCTGTATTATTTGGATTCCAATTATGGCTATCATAAAATTAATTCAAGCTGAAGGAACCATCCTTCAAGTAAGCATGTTAATATTATTTATACTTTAAAAGTTATGGTATCTATACCCGTACTGAGTTCTACTGAGATGACACAAAGCAAATGACCTTTTTCCTTTATATCTATAATTTTCACCTTTAAAACTTCATCTGGTTATAATACATACTGTAATAGCATGTTAAAACTGGAAAAACTCTGGTAAATTTCTTGAACCCAGTCCAGACCCTGAATTATCCCTCTTCCATGGAGGCCCAGGGGAGTTGATTATGACATCTCAATAGGACAATGACAAGGTAGGCTCAGCAGGCAGATTGGGTTCAAGATCTAGGTGAGTGCTTTGTGGATCTAGATCAATGGTTTGACCCTTTCTTTGGTTATTGAAACTTCCCAGGCATACCTGGTTTAGATCCTCACTTAACCCTCACCCTAAGGCCAGGATAGAAATGTCTGAGAATTCAGTGAAAGTATATGAAGTGATATTGTTGCTTGAATGGGTTCACGAAACACTTTCTTTTGAAATCATTTACATACTCAATTATTTTGGCTTTGTAGTTAATACAATTCTGTTAACAATTGGTTACATTTGAGTATCATTTTTTTTGGTAGACAGTATATTAAGAATTTAGATGATCATTTTTTACTTTTCTATGGTTCTTATTTCATTTTGGTTAGCAAGGAGACTTAACACTCTAAAATTTTCATTTTTTTTCTTTACTTTTCAGCGCATTGTAAGCTGCTGCAGACCAGCTTCTAACTGGGGGCCATACCTGGAAAGACATCGTGGGGAAAGATATAAAAATATGGTAGATCCTAGAAAAGAGACTGACCATGAAATACCTACTGTTAGTGGCAGTAGAAAACCAGAATGAGATCTAGTTTTTAAAAATATGTGGTTGTGTAATGTGATTATTTTAGAATAGAGGAAATTTTTATTTATTTGAATGTTGAGTAGAAAAACGTATATACTAGGTTCATAATAGTGTGATGAGCTTTTTTTTCCCATTTAAGCAGGAATGTAATATAAAAATGTGAATCTACTAATGTTTAGCAATGTGATTATTATATTTCTTTTAAGATTATCTTAACACACACATAGCTGCCTCTATTTCACAATAAAATATTAAAAATAATATTTTTCTAGTATATTGAAGGCTTTATTTTGAACTGGTTATTTAGAAAATAGTTATATTTTCTATTATACAAGTTTTTAAATATCACTTGCTTACGTTTTCTTAGTACATAATCCTTCCTTTCCATAAAGCTGGGGAAAATAAATCAATATATTTAAAAGACAGTGTTAAAATTGAAAGCCTCACTTAATTAGAAACGCCATATATATGAAAAAATGGGCTGTGTATATAATATGATGACTGTAGCTTAATACTTTTGGTTCATATGTCTAAAAACTTCATGTATTCATGGCTCACTTTTTCTAGGTGAACTTAGTGGTTACATTCTTTATTTACAAATAGTGAAGTAAGACAGAAAACTAAGGATCCCATGGCCAGTAAGCGATAAATCTAGAAAATGGAATCCAGAAGCTTTGATTACTTCTAGTTAATAGATCAAGTAGAATGATTTTGTCTTATCTGAATAAGTTACTACTTATGGGTGGTAACTTATTTACATACTTACAGAAGATAAACGTGTGAAACTTGTCAAGAATGAGGGCAGCCAAATTAGAAAGTCCTATGTCCCAGTTTGCTTACAAAAAATAATGAAAACGTATTATATCACTAAGAGATTTTTTTTGACAACTCATGGGAGTTCTAAGTTCTCCATCCACTTTTTAAAAATTTAATTTAATTTATTTTTTATACAGCAGGTTCTTATTAGTTATCCATTTTATACATATTAGTGTATACATGTCAATCCCAGTCTCACAGTTCATCCCACCACCACCCCCACCACTTTCCCCTCTCGGTGTACATATGTTTGTCCTCCACATCTGTGTCTAGGTTTTTCTAGGTTCCACATATATGCATTAATGTACGATATTTGTTTTTCTCTTTCTGACTTACTTCACTCTGTATGACAGTCTCTAGATCCATCCACTAATAGGTTTATACGTTGATTATATATCACTGACAACTGGTTTACTATCACAGCCTAGGATGGTGAACATTACCTAACTATGTAAGAAACTTTTCATTTATTCTTAAGGTTCTTAACCTGGGCTTCAGAGAATGTATGAAGCTGAAATTACATGTAATATTTTTCTACGTGTATGTGTGTATGCATTTTTCTAGGGTGAGAGTACATAGTTTTCACCAGAATATCAAAAGTGATCTGTGGCTCAGAAAAGTTTAAGAACCACATATACTACTGCTGGCTTTTTGTTCTTGTCAAATGAGGAATAAAAGAATAATTTTAAGCCTTAATTTCTTATACATTTTAAATTCCTTTTCCTCTTCCTTTTGATTGAAGATTAAAGGAGGAACGGATTAAGGTGTTTCTTTAATTTACACTGGTAACTTATTTTTGGGGGAGGGGGCATGAAGGTAGGTAAATAGGTAGGCCTGTAACTGAACAACCTCAGTGAATTATGTACATATATAAGATGAACTTGTGTTAGATATTTTGAGGGTTTTCTTTGAGCGTAGATCAAATGCTGTTAGTGAATGTCAACAGATTGTTAATTCCTCAATTATACTGGATTTTATAAAATACTATTTGAAATAGATAACTACAGCTTAGATGTTAACTTTAATCCATATTATATTACATGCATCCTACCCTTATATTTTGGTGTTATTTGAGGTGTGGATTTTTCACCAAATAAAAAAATGCATGCAATTTTCTACGGTGACTCTTGTAGTTCAGGGAAGATTTAGGCACACTTCTAATGAAATACTGATAACATCTAATTGGTGGTAGTGGTGGTACTGGAAAAGAAGTCCACTTCAAGAGCTGACTACAAAGAGTAGTTAAGAGTTTCTGTGACTATCTTTACAATTGTGTAAAGTACAGATCTTAACAGAGTGCCTGGCACATTGTAGGGTGTTCAGTGATAGCTCTTAGTATTATTATTATACAGATTCAACAGTGGTAAGAAAGACTATTCTGCATAATGGAAAGAGTTCCATCAAATCCCATTTACTTTAATGCAAACTTGGAGACATTTACAATATTGTATCGTAAACCATTAGAAAAAACTGTTTTTCACACTTGAGTGAAATTAAAATCACTGTATCTCAATATTCTTTTTAGTGTAGCTTATTAAAAAGAAAACAACTCGAACTGTTTCTTTTTCTATTGTGCTTTCATTCCTTTCCCAGTGAAATATATATTAGCAACATAATCAATTCTTTAAATGTGAGTGAGCAAACTGACAAATGTCTGAAGTTTGTATCTGACTTGGCATCCCCTCCCCCCTTTTTTTTTTCCGGTACGCGGGCCTCTCACTGTTGCGGCCTCTCCCGTTGCGGAGCACAGGCTCCGGACGCGCAGGCTCAGTGGCCATGGCTCACGGGCCCAGCCGCTCCACGGCATGTGCGACCTTCCCGGACCGGGGCACGAAGCCCTGTCCCCTGCATCGGCAGGCGGACTTTCAACCACTGCGCCACCAGAGAAGCCCCCCCCCCTCCTTTTAAATAATAATTCATTTGGTATAAACACATATAATCAAATGAATCCACTCAAAGTGCCTTTAATGATTGCCTCCAGTGTCATTACATTCTGTATGCTTGTTAGTGGATTTCCGGTTAACTTAATGCACGATTTAAACCCTTAGTAACTAGGAATCGTTCCAATTCAGCCAGATTGTATTCCATGATGCTGAGGTTTACAAATATTTTCCTCTGCATGGCTATCGAGTTTTGGAGATTAATATCCCATTGACTGTTGACTGAACGACACTTATCAGTATTGCTCTTAGCTGACTGGGTAGAAGAGGATGATCTCACCAGTGCAAGAGAAGTCGATTTGATGACATTTCACCAGTGTTTCTCTGTAAGGGAAGGAAATTATACATATGTAGTTTGTTAATATCCAAATACCGCCAAATAACATCCTTAGTCTTGGTCTACAAAAATGAACTGATTGTCCATCCCCAAGATTAAAAATCTGTTGAATGAATACACTGATTTGGAAATATGCCCTTCCCAAACACAGACTGAGAAAAAAAAAAATTAAAGTAGCCTTTTAATGCCCAAATGCCATACCCTTGGCTTACATTTCTTGGGCATTCCAGTAGGTCTATACTTGGATCCTGTCTGATTCCTGTCTAAAGGCACTTCACTTGGAACTTTAAATATCACCAGGAAGCCCACATTTTGACCTTAATTACTTGTGAATGCCCCCAAAAGCTCTTATGAAGATGGCTGAAAAGGCAAATACAAGGGAGGAAGAGGCAAACAGAAACACATGTGGCAGTAGAAGCCAAAGAAGAGAGAAAGTACAGATTCTTAAAATGGGAGGTGGTGCTGGGGAGTGGGTGCTTTCTGCTGTACTTTTCAAGTGGGTGAAAAGCTGACCATATCACTTAGCGACTTGGGGCTTTTTATAACATACTTCAGCTGTGGAACCACTGGTCAATATGAGAGAAGTGTGTGGGTAAAGAGTCAACATCTGGGGCCCTTTCAAAAGAAACAGGAATGAGGTGACCTCCCCCTTACTCTTATTTTACTATCTTTCTACTCTCTTAAACACGGCCCCTCCCCAGTCCATGTATTCATCGAGCTTCATCAATTCCAATTGCTCTTGTACATTTTATCTGAAACAGGGTTTTCCAGAAGACAAACTTGAAGGCGAACAGAACGTAGCTCACTAGCAGGAACAGGAGGGTCATGGCTCCTCTACGGCCTCTTCATTTCGCGGGCAACGAAGCACTCAGCTGGCACCTGGGAAACAGGGGGCTGCTAGCTGCCCAGACCACGGAAGCCGGTGACCAGTACGCTAAGCGCGCCACACCGCCTGATGCAACTGGGACGCGCGGCAGCGTCCAGCCTTATATACTGGAGTGAGCTTGAGACTCCACAATTAAGCACACGCAGTGGGGCGCTACTCACAACCTGATGACATAACACCGGCTTTCAGGAAACCAGGCAGTGCCTACTAACCACCCACCTGGTTACAGAGTTAGAGACGATGGGAGAGTTTGGGGTTTTCGGGAAGCTGAAACATGGTAGAAGTACAGACTCTAAATTGACTGGTTAAATACTATATTTTAAAAATGTTCCCCCCCTTTTTTTGTTGTTAAGATAAATTTATCTTTGCTGCAACCACTCCATTATTCATTTCAAAAACAAGTCCAAAAACGAATTAGGGCTTCCCTGGTGGCGCAGTGGTTGAGAGTCCGCCTGCCGATGCAGGGGACGTGGGTTCGCGCCCCGGTCCGGGAAGATCCCACATGCCACGGAGTGGCTGGGCCCGTGAGCCATGGCCGCTGAGCCTACGTACTGCAAAAAAAACAAAACAAAACAAAACAAAAAAAAGTAGAAATGCTGTAAAAGTAGTTACCTGCAAATTGTGAGTCTTGGCCAAATACCTCCTCCCTACCCCCACTGCTATTTTAGGATTCACTCCAACCCTATTCACACTGGGATAGTTAATGTACATTTGTGTCACTGTACAGTTTAAAAAGTAATTCCAGGGTCATTCCTCCACATAGTTCTCACAATAATTTTGTGCTACAGGTATTTTTAATACTGTGTCTACTTTTGGAAATGCAGAAACAGATTCAGATGTTAAGTAAACTCATTTGAAACTAGCAGCAAAACCACGACTTGAACCCACAGAGTTTGAGTCCTGAGATAAACTCTCCCATTCCCTTACCCTCATCCCCTTCCCCAGGACCTCTACCTACACTTGTGAGCCTCAAGTATATACTATTCTCCACCCAAGGAACTGAACAGTATATTTGGATTAGATAGTGAGAGGGGATAGATACAGGAATCATTGTACTAGACAAGTTAGAAGCATTCAAGAAATTCAGGTAAATGTACAAAATGGCACTGAACTAAAACACAGAACTAAAAGCAATAGCCAGGGTGATCTCAAGATGAGTGTCAAAGTGTAATCCACTAACCCTGCTTGGGGAATAACTCAAATCTTCATATAGACAGGAAGGAGAGGAATTACATTTATACATTTTTTCATGTCAAACTTATTTCCCAATTATGAGTTCAGAGCTTAAAGATTTATTTAACACGTATTTATTAAACACCCACATAAAGGGTGGGCACTGTGCTGTATTCTGGGAATATGACTTTGAGCAAAAATAAAGTCTCTGCTCACCTGGAATGTGCACTCTAGTGTGAGAGATAGACATTAATCAATCAAATACTCACAGAAATCCTGTAAAAGTATTAATGAGATAAGTGATAACAAGAAGTACATGATGGCACAGGAGCTTATAATAGGATATGAGATGAAAAGGAGACTGAAGGTCCTGGCTTTATGGCCTACTCAATTGAATGGATGGGAAATAACCAAGTATGGGGATGCTGATCATGAATTTGGTGTTGGACATGTTGAGTTTGAGGAGACTTTGAAACATAAAATAATTGATCTCAGGGAAATAAGTGAAAACATACATTTGGGAGGCATTTGCATATAAATGACAATTGAAGCTCTAGATGTGTAAGAAATTCCCTCATGTCAGTGTAGGGCGTACAAACTGAAAGAGAAGTAAGAATAGAGCATTGAAGGATTTAAATATTTAATAGTTGGGTGATAACAGTTCCTTTGGCAGGTAATTGTGGTTATCTTAACATTTAATTTCTTATTTCATCAAATAAAATTGACTGAAGCCCAGTAACATTGTCTCTAACAATAGAATTTTGAATTTTGGTCTTACTGGTATCCAAGGGAGCACCTCAAAGATTTTGGAAAATATTCTCATCATGCACTTTGACTGTTGCTAACATTGACTTTTTCTGGCTTTTTTTAAATTGTCATAAAGTATATAAAACATAGAACTTAACCAATTTTAAGTGTACGGTTCTGTGGCAGTAGGTACATTCACATTGTTGTGCAACCATCACCACCATCCATCTCCAAAACTTTTTCATCTTTCCCAACTGAAAATCTGTACTCATTAAACACTAGCTTCCTATTTTCCCCTCCACACATGCCCTGGAAACCACCATTCTACTCTCTGTCTCTATGAATTTGACTATACTAGGTACCTTATATAAGTGGAATTACACAATATTTGTTGTGTTGTGACTGGTTTATTTCACTTAGCATAATGTCTTCAAGGTTCATCCATGTTGTAGCCCTTGTCAGAATTTCCTTCCTTTTAAAGCTGAATAATATTTCACTGCAGCAATAACTTAAACAAAAAGAGTTGATTAAAAGACAAGCAATTCAGTGTGGGCATGGGAGATTCATAAACGTATTGGGAACCCTGGTTTGTTATACTCTGTTGCTTTGTCATCTTCAACATACATCTTCCACCTCATGGTCCAAGTTGTTGCTGAACTGTTCTGTTACCAGGCTGGTGGAAAACGTGAAGAAGGACGTGCCTCCTTTCTTTTAAGGACATTTCCCCAAAGTTGCACGTGATACTACCACTTTCATTTTACTGGCCAGAATGTAGATACATGGCCAAATCTAGCTGCAAAGGAGGCCAAGAAATATAGTATTTATTCTGGGTACTGATAAGCCCAATCAAAATTTATGGTTATGCTACTGAGAAAGAGAGGTTGAGGAATTATTGAAGGATGTCTATCAGTCTCTGTGACATCTTCTAGAGGAGGGGATTTAGAATTTGTCTCATGATACCAACCATCCTTGCACCCATAAGACACACATGAACTCCATCATTTGTAAGGACTTGGCTGATATTTGAAGATTAGGGAAAACGAGGGGGGGAGGACAGCAATCTGGCTTGTTCAGAATTCCACCCATCTACATCTTCCACCTTGCTTTAATTGAAATTGTCTAAAAATGGTTCTTCCCTTCCAATTGTTGTTCTTCGAGAACAAGTTCCGAGTAGATCACACCTATTCAAGGCCATGTGACTGGGCCTACTGCACTAACCATTTATATGTTGATACTTTTTCCTATTAACTGACATAATTTTGTGCTGATTGCTGTAAAAACAGAAGAACATAAAACGTTTATTTTATGAAATTCAATTAGGACATATTTTAGAGAAACTAAACAAAAATGAACTAAGAAACATATGCTGAATTTTTTCTTTCTGATCATGCATTCTCTAGTCACATATTTCATCAACAGAGGGCATTGTAGGTTTATTTCACTTTTTTGGTCGCTCTGTACTTTTCAATTACAGCTTCCTTTCATTTGGAATTGCACCATATTATCCAGGGCCAAATAAATAAGTGGTATGTTGTATTTGTTAAATATAGCACAGATCATTGATCTGTGACACCATAATCCAGACTTCACTACATATAAATTGCCATAGAATTTTGCTGAGAACATGCCCTTTCAAATTAATCATATTTGAGTCAAAAGTACTAGACCATATTTCTTTTATTTGAAAAGAAAAAGGATAAAGACTGTGCATGTTATGATCAACCCTAACCTGAGACATTTTTTGCTCCTCTACCCCCATATCACCTCTGATGTTGTAATATAGGCAAAATAAAAAGATTATATAATCTGATTGATAATGCTTAAATCTGGTATTTTATTTTCAGTGGCATTGTTTTACTTTAAGTGACATTTAGAGCTTATTTTAAGTGACCTTTAGAACTGTAATATGTTCTGGAAAGTATTATGGGACTTGGAAGAAAAATTGCTTTTAGCTTTTTTGCTAAGAGAATGAGCTACAATGTCCATCTCAAATTGAGACTTTAACAATTCATTATGTTTGTCACTGAAACTTTGAAATGCCAACCTGAAAATTTTATTAAAATATAATTTGCAGCTTTTTATAACTTGTAATAATGGAAAATATAATAATTGTTCTTAATGTCAGTGGGAAATTTAAGTATAATACATGATTTTTCTAGTAATACATATACTTGAGTTGCCTAAAATAAACCAGTGTTTTTTTTTGAGGGGTGGTATGTATGTGTGTGTAAGTGATGCCCTAGAAGAGCTTTATAGAGCAAAACACGGGATAAATCAGAAAAAAGAAACCTTCTAAACAACTCTACCAAAGGTCTGGGAGACTATTCATTACTTTCCGTTTATTCAACAAACGTTTACTGAATACCAGGTACTGTTCTAGAACAGTAGAGATACAGCTGTGAACAAAACAGACAAAAATCCTCCTTGCAGCTTATATTCTATTGGGAAGCTATATTCAAATTCTCAGACTGATTATTTATGGGTTTTTTTTCAGATTTTCGTGTAATATTTAATTAGCCAGTAATTTAAAAAGTCAGATCTTGGCAAAAGAGGGAAGGCTCCATAAAGCATTTTTTGAAGCTAACATAACCCTGACATAAAATCTTGCCAAATATAGCACAGAGAATTTAAAGACTGATTCTCTTAAAATGAAAAAAATCTAAAATAAAGCACTAAGCAAATAAAATATGGACAATATTAAAAAAGTAATATCACCAAATATAATTTATTTCAGAATGTTAGGATGACAACATTAGGAAATCTCTTAGTATATCATTTCCATAGGTAAAAAAAAAAAAAGACGATATTATAAGACTATCTCAATAGACGCCCAAAAGAGGCATTTACTAAATTTCAACACCCATTTCTGGATTAACAAACTAAACATTAATTTTTTAAAAACCTGGGCATGAAAGAATACGTCCTTAATATTAGGATATTGAGATGAAAACAATAACCAACAACATCTGTAACAGCGACACACTGGAGACATTATAATCAACATCAAGAAAAAGACAACTG